GCTGATGATGATGATGATGATGATGATGATGATGATGCTGATGATGATGGTGATGGTGGTGATGATGGTGACGTCGATTATGGTTATTACTATGATGATGATGATGATGATAACCATAACGATGATGCTGATGATGATGATGATGCTGCTGGTGATGATGTTGATGATGATCGTGATGTCGATGATGGTGTGGTGACGACGACGATGAGGATGGTGATCATTATGATGATGCTGATGAGCATGATGATGATGATGATGATGATGATGATGATGATGATGATGATGATGATGATGATGATGATGATGATGATGATGCTGGGAGGAGGGAGGATGAGGAGCAAGGAAGGAGAAGGAACGCGCGGCACTGTCTCTTCGAACCGAAGACCCAAACCACTGGGGCACCATCGGGACACCAATCGAAACGCCAACTGGCACAACACCATGACACCACCAGGACACCATCCGGAAACCAATCAATCGGGGACCCATCGGAACTTCACTGGGATACCATCGAGACACCATCGAAACCCCCCCGGGGCACCATCAGGACACCAATCGGGACACCGATCGGGACACCCACGGGACACCCACGAGACACCCACGAGACACCGACAGGACACCACAGGACACTGACGGGACACCGACGGGACACCGATGGGACGCCGACGGGACACCGACGGGACAGCGACGGGACAGCGATGGGACACAGACGGGGCACTGATGGGACTCCGACGGGACACCGACGGGGCTCCGACGGGACACCAAGGGGACTCCGACGGGGCACCGACGGGGCACCGACGGGACACCGACGGGGCACCGACGGGACACCGACGGGACTCCGACGGGACTCCGACGAGGCACCGACGGGACACTGACGGGACTCCGACGGAACACCGACGGGACGCCGACGGGACACCGACTGGACACTGACGGGACACGACGGCGGGACACCCCCAGCCACCGCTCGCGGACACCGACGGGGCACCGACGGGACACCACGGCGGGACACCCCCAGAGCCATGTCGTGACCACAGCGGAGCGAATCCTCCCGCCCGCCCAGCCCATGCAGCTTCGCCTCGCCCGCACGTCACAAACCCGAAACCGAAACCGATTTCCCGGAAGGGGATTCTCCGTCCCACTTCGATCTCACCCCCCAGCCTCCGATAAATGAATTGACAACTATGGTTTGTTTTGTTGTTCCTGGGGCTCTCGTGGGAGTGCTCTTGGAGTCATATCGGGGCGTCTCGGAGGCCTGTTAGGCCGTCAGGAGACCATATGGTGCGTGTTGAACGCCTCGGGTAGCGATTCGGGATGTCCGTAGATCGTCATGGGGGCCTCTTGGGACTCTCATGGTCCGTCTGGGGGCACTCTGGGACTGCCCTGGAGCCCCCATGGAGAATCGACGCAGCTTGCTGGGGGCCCCCGTCACTACATCCCTCCTCCGCCCCCTCCGCGACAGTCGCGAACGACGACCGTGCACATATCCGTGCCCTCGCGGTCTGGCTACCACATCGCGACCTCATGGATACACGGTCCCATGGATACGTTCCGCGCGTGGCACTCTGCGCGAAGCCGCCAAGGATCCATGGAGTCGAATCCGAGGATCGGAACAAACGAACGGGGGGAGCAAAGGGCGGGGTAGCACATCAGCTCACATAGCTGGTGTTCCGGGCGCCACCCAGCGCCAATGGCGGCCATGTGTCGAGGAAAGCGCCCGGCGGCTGGGCCGAAACCAACTGGAGGGGGGGAAGGGATGAGGGATGATGACGTTGATGTTGATGTTGATGATGATGATGATGATGATGATGATGATGATGATGATGATGATGATGATGATGATGATGATGATGATGATGATGCTGATGCTGATGATGATGATGATGATGATGATGATGATGATGATGATGATGATGATGATGATGATGATGATGATGATGATTATTTTTGTTCTCCTAGGCTTTCGTTTCCCTAGCAGGAAGGGTACTCGTTGGGAACCCAGCGCCCTCGAGGGGTCCTTGGGGTCCTGGGGGCCTGGTCGGGCGGCGAATCAACGACGAAGTGCTCCACAGCTGGCGGACGCATCGTGAGACGGCGAACGACGTAGGACGGGCTTGCGGACCACGCTTCGGCGAGAGGCCGATGCCTCCTCGCCGTGGTGCGTAGCCGCGCTTCAAGTTCCTGGGCTGGGGACCCCCTCAAACCCAGCCGACGGGCATTCAGTAAAGACAAAAAGGCATCGCAGCATGCAGTTCGAAGAATGGTGATTTCATGCGGTGCAGGGAATAGGAGAAGGAGGAGGGAGAACCAGTAAGGCTGCCCGACGGGCTCACTCGAACTCAACATGCGATTCCGTAACCATCCCTGAACCATCTGTTCAAATCGAGGACAACAGCAGTAATGGGAAATCGAATCCAAAGCAACACCAGTAGAATCCGTATATCTAAACGCGCATCCCCGAGGAGAGCTGTGAAAGCGGGACGAGGTATTGACAGAGTTCGTGAGCAGCCGAAGGGGAGCGACAGCGAGGTACATAGAGGTGGACTTGGCGACATACTGCAGGTTCGTACAGGACTGGTCGATGTGCCGCGGCCCCGCCTCAGGGATAAGCTTCCTAATCCTGCGGAGGAGGATGGACCTGGCTTGTTCCTATGGCGCCCGAGAGCGAGCGATCCGATAGAGCTTCGGCTGCAACGTTCTCCCTGCGGCTTCCAGCGGCGACAAGAGTGAATGATACAACTGAGTGGCCTACGGGAGGTGCGTGACGAAGGAATGCTCATGCCAACCCCGATGCCGTCGGAAAGGAGTGTGTTCGATGTCGAGACGGTCGGAGTCGAGGGCGGGGAGGACCGAGGGAACGGCAGCACATCGTACAGCAAAGCGAGTGCGGGCAGCACGCGCTGCCGCGTGAACATCTAGGAACTCAATGTGAAGCCCGACCCCCTGCATCTGGACGGCACGGTCGTAGGAAATGGCGTTCCTGGGGCCTACTGTCAACAACATGACCCCTTCCTTGAATGCCTTGATTCGTGAACCATCAAGAGGGTAAAGTTGTAAACGGAATTGGAGCAGTAGGGCACACATGATGCGGAAGGAGAGGGCGGAGAGAGCCAGTCCCACACCAATAAGATGATAGAGATGATGATGATGAGGAGGAGGAGGAGAAGGAGGAGGAGGACGAGGAGGAAGAGCAGGGAGAGGAAGAGGAGGAGGAGGAGGAGGAGGAGGAGGAGGAGGAGGAGGAGGAGGAGGAGGAGGAGCGAGTGGGGGAGAAGCGACGCCACATGATTCCCAGGGCCTCTCCAGGAACATCGAGAGGGGAGGGCAGGAGGATGAGGGACCAGACTGGCAGGGAGGGGGGCGAGGATGGTGTTCAACGCATCGCTCTACAAAGTTGGCCCCTGAGTCTGAGTGGCCTTCAAAAGGCGATTCACTCCGTATCTAGTTCTCTGCAAACACGAAGGAGGATGAGGAAGAGTGAGGATGAAGATGATTGCCTGCCTTCCAGAGTGGAAGTGTCTTCAAGTGGAGGCGCGCAATAATAATCTTGTAGTCTCTCGGGGGCCGTTCGGGCGACTCTTGAGGGCCACTTGGGCGTCTATTGGGGGCCTGTTGGGAGCCTCTTGGGGGATCCTTGGAAGCCTCTTGGAGGCCTCTTGGGCCATCTTGGGGCTGTCTTGGCGTCCTCTTGGAGCGCCTTGGGCCTGTGTTGGGCCTCTCCTGGAGCTTTGATGGGCGAGCATCGGGACAACTGTAGGACCCCCTACCCAATCGGAACCAAAACGGCGAGAGAGCCACACACATTCAAAACACACGATGCTGTTTTTTAAAGCCAAGTGTTAGAACCCGCGGGGCCGTCCTTGGGAAGCCCAAGGGCGACTTGAAATCCATCTTGGGACCTGCATTTGAAGACTTCACCGTGGGCACGCTTGGGCTGTCTTGGGGCCATCGTATGCGTTCTTGGCCGTCCTGGGCGTATCTTGAGGAACTCTTCTGCCTTTTGCAGCTGCCTGGGGCCGTCTCGGGTCATCGTGGACGCACGGGGAAGCAGCACTAAAACCGTATATCAGATCTTGTGCCTGTGTTACGGGGACCTGACCTGGGACCTGGGACCTGGGACCCCTGAAATGTAGGTGCATTTAAATAAGTGTATGTGTTTTGTATATAGGTAGTGCGTAGGCACATGTATATGAATGTATGTATGTCTATACGTCTGCATGTCGGTATGTATATGTTGATGGATGTATGGGTGTAGCCATACATGTGCGCATGTATGTATGAATGTCGATATGTGTTTTTGTATGTGTGTATGCATGTATGTGTACGGGTGTGCATGTATGTATGTGTGTACGTGTATGTGTGTATGTATGTATGTATGTATGTATGTGTGTATGTATGCATGCATGCATGCATGCATGCATGCATGTATGTGTGTTTGTATATATGTATGTATGTATGTATGTATGTGTGTGTATGTATGTATGTATGTATGTATGTATGTATGTATGTATGTATGTATGTATGTATGTATGTATGTATATATGTATGTATGTACGTGCGCATATGCATACATGTGTATGCATGTATGTCTGTATGCCTGTCCGCTTGTCTGCCTGTGTGACTGTCTGCCTGTCTGCATGTGGATGTATGTACGCATGTATGTATGTTTGTGTGTATGTGAGTTGGATGTATGTAGGTAGATAGGTAGGTCGGCGGGCTGTTGGGAAGGTAGACAGACAGGGAGGTATGTATATGTATGTATGCACGTACGTATGATGTATGTATGTTCGTGTGCATGTATGTATGTAGGTACGTAGGTAGGTAGGTAGGTAGGTAGATATGTATGTATGTCTCTCTGTATCCATGTGTGTGTTTGTGTGCGAAGATGTGCGGCGAGATGGGGTGCAGGCGCGCCCATCGCAGGAGAAGGATATTGAGATGGGTCACGATCGCCTTATCGGCTGAACAATGGTCGATATGGTCCCTGGATTCGTTCAGTTAGCCATCCTTGAACTCCTGCTGCTGAAGTGCGTAGCTCACAACGATGGTTGGCAGCTGGACGTCCGCCCTGGTGCTCATGGAATCTTCGGATCTTGCCCGCTCTCTGAACCCACCCAGCTCTTCGACACTCTCTGCTGGGCGTGCACCGCACGAGCAAAAATACATTATAGCCAGGCTGGGAGCTGCGGCTGCAACCGCATCGACACCAAAGGGAATCGTACCATACCTGTGCGCCGCGACCCCGCTGCGTGTTTGAACCCAAATGACCAGGAGGATTGACATGAAGAAATTCGTAGCGTCGTTAGACAAGCGGCCCTGAGCACGGAACAAATGTGTAATTGAGGCTGGGCCGTCTGGGCAACACCACGCACGTCAAGCGTGGTGTTCAAGAAATGCCAAGTGTGACCACTGGCATCGGACGGAAAGACTCCCCCAATGCTTCGAACCTACTTCATGGTAATCATTCCACAAGGTCCCATAAACGGTTTGCAACGCGTGCGCGTAATACCTAGGGTGCGCGCATAACAAATGAGGAAGCATCTCCAGGATATTGGGGACATCTTCAGCGGCAGCATGTCTGGTATTCTGAAGTTATTCAATCATTGCTTGCACTGTGGGGTAATTCCTGCAGCTCTAGAAAGCTAGTGCTGTGTGCGGCCCGCTCTTCCAATTGCCGCGTGGACTCCTATTTGTGGCCTTCTATTGATTCCTGCGAATTCGACCCTGTGTGCCACATTGTCCTCTGGTGGCTTCTTGGGCTCCTTTGCTTGGGCTCCTGTGGGTTTCAGATCAGCTGGACCTGCAGGCCGCAATGGCGGTAGCCACTTGGACTCCTACGCTTGGACCCCCTCCCCCCCCAGCGATTTCAAAGAATCTGGCCCTGTGTGTAGCACTGTATGACAGTGGGCGCATCGATGCCCACGGACTCAAAAAGAACTGGAGAGAAGCGGATGCGACACGCGTGCGACTCGGGTTTGCCGCCGACGGGGGGTACCTCAACAATATGTCCGCGCCGTCATCGCATTGCCCCACTCCACAAGGGTGAGGGTAACGAGGAGGATAAGGAAAGAAGAGGAGGATGATGGGTGAAATAATGAGGAGGAGGAGAAACAAAAACGGACCAGGAGGAGGAAGAGGCTTCCCTTGACCCCACGGTCGTGACCGCGCCGGCGCTCCTCCTCCCCCTCCGCCTCTCTCCGCCTCCATCTCCTGCTCCTCCTCCCATTCACCTGCCAAGTTGGGACGTGAGCGCAGTCGTTATTGAGTCGGCGCGCACTTCGGCCGCGTCAACGCCAAGCTGTGCGACGGGCGATGTCAGCCGCATAGCTAGGGAGAGCCTGGGAGCTCCAGCGTAATAGTGCAAGGCTGCGTACCTCAAAGCCAGAGTTCGCCGCGCCTGAGAGCTGCCGCATCTTTCGTGAGCTCATGGGAGGTCCAGTCGCGTGCGTGGCTACGCGTGCTGCGTCCATCCTTGCGAATTGCGCTCTGCAATGACCTCCGACTCATACGAAATCCTTCGTCTTGTTTTAAAGGTATGTCGATATTCAAGATAATATTCCTCCTCTTCTCTTCTTCTCCTCGTCCTGTTCCCCTGAAATTGCCAATGTATGATAGAAACGGACGCGCATTGCATGGGCTCCTGGTGTGGCTTGCGCCGTGAACGTTGAATGCCCATATTTTGGTGTGTGGCGGATCTGCCCCTTGATGGTCTCCCAATGTTTGGAATGCATGTGTATGCCTTGGGATATCTTTGATGACGCTGGCACCAGCAACTCCAGACAAGTCGTCCAATGGCGAGCAGGCGTCGCGGAGCAGAACTTCCCGCAGGCGCCAGGCTGCGAGCGTAGTCTAGGCACGATATGAAACTCCCTGGTGAAGCTATGCGCTATGTAAGCCTACATATGAGTTGCACCCCTGCTTAAAGCTAATGACAATTTTGGCACAGCATATAGACTTCACACAATGCGTTTCTCAAGCCGTGGTCCAGGTCCAGACCTACAAACATTCCATTAAAAAAACATTTCAACAAAACGCACAGGGCACATCCAGACTCGTGACTGTCTTGAGCGAGTCTGGAGCCCATGGTAGTTCGCTTTTTTTTACATTCGGTTTCTGAAGCGTGAGGTTTTGTGTTCATTCGGATATCACTAGCGCTGTTGAACGCGATAGGGGATAACCCAGGCTGGTCCTTTTCACGGGACATACTGCAAACTACAATACATTATGTTCTCACGCCGTGCCGCGAGCATCGGGGAGCGCAACGCATGCAATTGCGAGCGGCACATGCCGACCAACGATACTGTCCAACACAATAACAACACCATGCAATGTGATATGCTCGGATCATTGAACGAGGAACAATGCCTCGCATTGGCGCCAAAAACGCCTGGGTGCACGAGGATGGCTAGAGAAACTGGACAAACACCTAAGGAACAACGAACTATTTCCGAACCCAAAACCGTCTTTATTTGAGCGTCTTGGCTGTCGAATGCAAGGTGTCGAAGCCCTAGCTGGTGAATTTTGACAAAATGATCTGGGTAATCGTAAGGTTGCGGACGGTTTGTTGAGCCGTCCTGTCCAAGGCCTCGACCTGTTACGCTTTCGACAGAGGCCCCCCCTCCAAACCCCACAAGCAACACTCCTACTGGCTGCGCTGACCTGTATAACTGCACTCGATGCCCAGAGGCTTCGAAATCAACCTGCGGTGACTCTATTTCTGGCACCTATCTCTACGCTAGCCTCCACCGAACGTCCTCGATCTGCTTCCGCCGTTCTGCATGGACCTTTCGTGGGAGGCTGGGGAGGCCACCCCCCCGTTGCTCGACGACGCCCTCTTCTGGAGCCGGCCACGCGTCAGCAAGCCGTTCTCCCTGCGCCGCGCCGCTGGCCTCGCCCTGCTGGCCCCGCGACAACGCCCTCGACAGCCCGAAGTCAGATATCTTCACGCAGGGGGCCTCCTCGAGTGCGGGGGGCGGGGGGCGGACCGGCGTGCTGCAGGAGGATGCGGGTCAGACGCCCAGGCGAAACTGGGGAGGAGGATCAGGGCGGGAGGAGGTGCAGCAACTAGATAGAGTTGCGGGTGGCATGAGTGAAAAGGTAGAAGACATGGCGGCAATGGTAAGAGCATAGCGGCGATCTTTTTCCTTGAACTTCGTGTTCTCCCGCGTGCGCGCCGTAAGCCTGAACAGCACCGGGCGCGCACGCGGGTTCTTATTCGAACAAGGACTACTGGATAATGGAGAGTGTCCCTCCGCAGCACTTCGGCTGTGCCAGAGCATTCGCCGCGAGGCCTCAGCAGTGGACGCTCGGCACAACTCACCCGTGGCTCAGGAGCCTCAGCCCGAACGGAATGCTGTGAACCCTGGGGAGCCCTGTCGGCTCGTTTGTGGTCAGCTCGTACGCGAGATGTGCTGCGCTGACCACGACCAGGGTCGTGGATCGCAGCGACACCCCGAGCAGGGAGAGCCCAGGGACAGGCTCCATACCTAATGTGACTGGCTGGTGTTGCCTAACAGCCTGGGGCAGGGCACTGCTCGTTGGGTCCCGGCACAGATCGTGCACGGCGTGCGCCCGCGCCGCGGCGTTGGTCGCGCCTGCCAACCAGGTATTCCCCGTGGCTTTGCATCTGGCACAGTGGTGGCGTAGCCGCTAGCCTGCGGCACTCTTTTGTGAACAGCTGCTGGCGGGCGTAGCTGTCCATTGCACGACTGCGCCGCTGGGAAGCACCCGCGCGCATTGTTTCGTGTGCGCACCGATGCGGCTCGTCCAGCACCTCGCGGCAACGTGCCCCTAGTTGCTAGTGCTTATCACTGCTGACTGGCACCAACACGGCGCGCGCTCTCTTGATGCGGCCAACAGCAGCGCAGTCTCGCAGGTGCCTGGTTGGCCGACCACTGATCGCAGGGAACGGCTGCTCGATGGTGGTCGTGCCGAAGGATGTTTGCAATGGGCGCGTGGTCGGGTCACGCTCGCGGTGCTCGTCGTAGCTAAGTCGTCAAGTGCCCTGCGGGCACATCGGACTCAGACATGCTCTAGCCCGTCGGCACGCGGCGAAGGCTGTCAAGACGCTCGCGCAATCATGCTGCACGGCGCGTTCAGGAAGACACGGGGAAAATGCTGCGCCAGGTGGAGGCGCGAACGCTTCCCATCAATCCGTTGCGGGCGCGGCGGGGCCCGTGCTCCTGGCGACCGCGCGGGGGAGCTGCTCCTGGCGACCGCGCTGCTCCTTGCCCAAGAGGCGGAGTCGCGTGCACCCGCAACGGCCGCGTCGACCTGCGTGATTTTGTCGGGCTGATGACGGCAAGCCTGGTGGCTCATATCACGTGTCGAGCGGCCCTGGGCGTGACCTCGCTGGCGGTGCCCTGGGATGGGCACTGCTGCGCGCGTCGACGCGCTCGCATGCAACTGTTCGTGCGAGGGTGGTGTCATGATGTAGCGCAGGCAATGCGCATGCGCGCGTTGGGCAGCGCAGCGCCGAGCCCCGTTCACCACTCCCGATGGGCGGCTATGCCGCCAGACTGGCGTCGGCGAGCATGCGCCCACTCCAAGAGCTGACGCGGGAGCGACGAGTGAGGAGCAACTGCAGAATGACCTCCGAGGCCAGGCACTGCCGCGCGCTGGAGCTACGCTAGTGGTGGTGGTGGTGGTGGTGGTGGTGGTGGTGGTGGTGGTGGTGGTGGCTTGGGTAAGCAATCTGGCGAGGCCGCGGGCACTGCCTCTTTAGCGGCACCTCCCACTCAGGGATGGCTGAGGGACAGCTCACCACCTGTCGCGGGGGTCTAGTACCGCAACGCCACGGCGCCACTTGGTCCGAGAGACTCCCAGGGGCACCTCCCCTGGGGCACCCTCCCCGCCCCACCTCGACCACGGGAAGGCCCAGCAATGCCAGCCCCCAAATACCTGGGAGCGGGACATCCCAGAACAATAGGGCGCTACAGCTGGGGTCCCGACCCAGGACGAGGGGGACAGGGGGATCCATCCAGGGCAGCCCTGGTGGCCACCCGTGCCGGGCGGAACCTGTGCCGCAGAGTGGGGATGGACAGCGCGAGAGCTCCCGCTCACCTCCGCTGGGGCCTCGCCCGTCCAAGCACATCCCGGATGCCACCGCAGGGCGCAGCTGCGAGGCGATGAGAGATGACTGGAAAAGGGCCTCCCCGAGTGGGTGCCCCCCGCCACCACCCTGGCTCGGCATCGGGACGCGGCCCGGCCTGCGGGGAGAGACAGGGGGGGAGAAAGAGCCCCCTCGC